AACTGTGCAGGGAAAGGGGGGGAGCCGGGCCTGGGGGTAGTGGGTGTCTCGAGGAGGGGGGAAGAGGTCCTGAGTGTTGGGTGCTGAGCACCCCGTCTCTGGCTCCAAGCACCCCACAGGCAGCACCGAGCACCCCAAATGTACCACCAAGCACCCTACATATAGCACCCAGCACCCCAAATGCAGCACCAAGCACCGCACAGGCAGCACCGAGTACCCCACAATAGCACCCAGCACCCCAAATGCAGCATCAAGCACCCCACATATAGCACTGAGCACCCCAAATGCAGCACCCAGCACCCCAGCAGGCTCTGGGGTGGACAGGGCAACTTGGGGGTTTCCATTTTGGTGGGCCCAAGGGGTTTGCGTTTGCCTCCAAACTTGAAAAGAGTCACAAAGTGCTGCCCCCCCCCTCCCCCATCCCCTCTCCTCCTCTCCCAGCTCTGGATGGGGAAACCGAGGCACAGGGAGGCCAAGGGCCACTGCGCTGGCTGCATGCCTCAGTTTCTCCACCGGCAAGGCACGGCGGGAGAGCGTGGACATGCCCAGATGGGACAGAGATTGGCTGGGGGCCCAGCCACCAACCTCTCCCTTGGGGGGGGAAGCTTTTTTGTCTTTTTTTCCCCCCAAAAAGTAGATTTTCCATTGAAGGGTTTTTTTTTAGTTCCTCTTAGCGGGGTTTGGCTTCCTTCCATGCTGGCACCAACCCCTTCCTGGCCCCATCCCCAAACCCAGGGGAGGTTTTGGGATCCCCCCTCCAGCAGGAAAAAGTCAAAAAATATATTGAGGAGGTGGGATAAGGACCAAAACCAGGTGCTTTTCCTGCAAAACCCCCCTGACCAGCTCAGCGGAGGCATCTCCACATCACTGAGCTCTGGGTTAATGGGTACCCAGCTCAGCACCAGCCCCCCCCAACCCCGCAGCATCCCCAAATGCCTCCGATTCACACATCCCTCCCCCCCAAAAAAACCCCTTTTTTCCCAAATCTGGCTGCATTTTTGGGGGACATTACCTGGGAGCAGGAGCAGCACGGGAAGAAGCCATCGGCACCTACCACCCTCCATCGCCCCACCGTCGCTGGAGCCGCCAGCATCGGCTGTGAGCAGCTCAAAGGTTACTCTGTCTCCATACAGGATATTTTTTTTTTCCTCTTTTTTTTTTTTTTTAAATATTTTTTTTTCCTCCTCCTTCATCTTCAATTGGCTGCTAAAAATAAACAGCTGGAGTGGGGTTTTTTTGGTTTTTTTTGAGGGACGGAGTTAGGAAAAAAAGGGAAAGTGGAGAAAAACATGGAAAAAAAAAAAAAAGAGGAGAGGGAAGAAGGGGGCAGGGACGTGCAGGGTTTGGGGGGACAATGGCATGCTCAGGGTGCTCCTGAAGGGGTTTTCCCCCTTTTCCTGGCAAAGCAGTCCGTGCATAGGCTGGGAAGCGTGTCCCATGGTGTCCCCAACCCCAGGAAGGCTTGAACCCCACAGCTGTGGCCAGGACACCCAGCTCTTCTCCCCGGGGACCTTGACTTCAGGCTGGGGGTGTAGGGATAGGGAGTTTTGGGGTGCCCGCTGCTATCCTTGGTTCTCTGTGGATTTAGCGTCACCACGTCCTCCGGGTGACAGTGCCACCTCCTGGACACTGTCCCCATCTCCCGTCCCTTGGAGAAGGCTGAGAAGATGGGGTGACCTTGGTGAGGATCCCCCCCCATCCAAACACCAGCTCGTCGAGACGCCCCTGGCAGGGGAAACCGAGGCAGGTGGGATGCCCAGCATGCAGTAGCACCCCAAGACCACCTTCCAGCTACTGAAGGACAGGGCAAGAGAGGCCACTGCTACGTGGTGGCATCCACGGCTGTCTCTTCCTCGCCGGCAGCAGGACCGAGCCCCCCAGGGCTGCCCAAGAGGCTATGAAGCTGAAGCCAGAAGAAGGGTTGTCTCCCGGGTTCATGGGGCCACTCCAGGTAGGTCTTGGTGCCCAACATCTTCCGGAGCCGGGAGAAACGCCGGGGCAAACCCTGAGCATCAATGGGTTCCTTCACCACCAAGATGACATCCTCACTGCCCAGCCCCACAGCACGTTGGTGGGCAAAGTAGAGCTCATAGTTGCACCACTCACTGTCGACAAAGCTGCGGGAGAGGACGAAGATGACCTTGGCGCTCCTCTCAATGTTCTCCACGATGTTATCGATGATCCAACGGCCCGGTGTGAAGTCCCGCTCGTGGATACAGAGCCTGTATGGTGGTGTGGTGCTCTCTAGCCGGTGCAGAAGCTCCTGGCGAACCCAGCCGGCATCGGCACAGCTGTAGGAGATGAAGGCGTGGTAGGAGCATCGCCGTGTGGCACCTGTCCGCCGCCTGCCATACTTGGCATGCACCAACTGGTATGTGGCTCGCAGGTACCAACCGGCATCCAGTTTCCAGCAGAGCACGGCACACGCCACCACTGCCACCACCGTGCTGGCCACCGCCACGGCCACCAACGCTGGCACATTGCATTCCAAGGGACGTGGGGCGTAAGCGGCCACGGCCGTATCCAGCAGTGGCTCGGGATGGTAGCAGGTCCAGTTGTGGGGCCAGTCGGTCAAGGTGGGTCGTCCCCGTCGCCACGTCTCCTCCAAGAAGAGGTAGAGGTCACAGGTGCAGTGGTAGGGGTTGTTGCCGGCTGCCAGGCTAATGAGCCGCGGCATATTGATGAAAGACCCATGGTTGATGACACCAAAGGAGTTTCCGTCGATGGCCAGCACCTCCAAACGGGGGCATCTCCACTCAGAGGGGATGAACTTGATCTTATTGCCACTCAACCGCAGCTCCTGCAGCCAGGGGCTTCGGGTGAAGTAGTCCATGTCCAAGCGGTCAAGCTGTGAGTAGGAGAGGTCCAGGTACTCAAGGGTGGTGGGCAGGCACCCAAAGGTGCCTGCCGTCACCCGGTTGTGGTGGAGGGCCAGCCAACGCAAGGTAGAACTCCATTGGCACGTCTCCTGCAGGCTGCCCAAGCCATTGTGGCTGGCATCAAGGTGGGTGAGCCGGGGCCAGGTCCTTGTCAAGGTGGCCACCACAGCCAGGCTCAGGAGCTGGTTGGTGGCCAAGACAAAGCTCTCCAGCTTGGGCATGACACCCTCATAGTGGCAGTGTTGGTTATAGATATAACTGTCTTCCAGGCGGTTGCCGGAGATGTCCAAGGCCTCCACGTTACGCATCTCGCCCCAAGCATCGCAGGGGACATAGTTGAAGTTAACATTGATGATGGAGAGGGCAGCCACGCCACTGAACCAAGTGAAGGTCCAGTCGAAACGCAGGACATCAGGGTTGCTGATGTCTTGCAGCAAGAGGCGGTCAAGCCGTGGGGCAGGCGCCTCCATGCTGGAGCTGTTCTGCCACGGTGAGCGGGCGAAGTCAATGGCCACCAGTGCCAAGTCACGGACGTGGGAACGTTGGACGTTGAGCAGGGCCAAGCGGAGGAGGTTCTCGTTGAACTTGCCCCGGTAGAAGACCAACTTGGTGATCTGCAACTCGGCCAAGCCATCAAAGGGATCGGCGTCACCAGTGTAGTAGGTGAACTCAAAGAGGTTACGGAAACGCAGGTAGTTGAGGGGTTTGCCCCGCAGGTCCCGCAACATCAGCGGCAGAGCCGCTGCGCTCTCGTCCAAGGCAATGTCGCACCACAGCTCCGTGGTGTTGAGCCACGAGAAAGCCCCGACTTCGTACCGTCGCAGGCTGGAGGCCGACTTGATGGCGAACTTCTGCAGCGCCGTGTCCTTCAAGATGGCAAAGTCCCCCCGGGAGATGTCCCGCAGCAGCGGCCCACCCAGTGACAGCTCCCGCAGCTGCTGCAGCCTGCCAAAGATGCCATCCAACGCCACGCTGCGGTAGAGGTTGTTGGACATGTCCAACCAACGGAGGTTGACCAACGGTTGCAACGCCAGTGCCGGGATGCGTTTGAGAGAGTTGTTGAAGAGCCGGAGGTGCTCCAAGAGGGGGTTGGAGAGGAAAGCATTTGGCGAAATGCGGGAGATGTTGTTGTAGCCCAAATCCAAGTGCCGTAGCTGGGTCATGCTGGCGAAGTCGCCCGCCGTGATCTCCTGTAGCTTGTTATATGAGAGGTCGAGGCTGTGGAGGCCACTGGGGAGGCCATGGGGCACCCGCACCAGGTCCTGCCCCTTGCACAGCCCCGTCCGGTTGTCAGCGTCAATGCGGCACGGCTGCCATGCCGCATCCCCTGCCAGGGCCAACAGCACCAGGCACCAAACCCCCCGGGTGCCAGCAGCTGGGGGGGGCCGCAAGGCCTCCGGCATGGCAGTGGGGTGGCTGGGGAGGTACTGCCAGTGGCAGGAGCAGGGACGGGGCTGGAAGGGGCATCCGGGCATCCCGGCGGAGCTGTCCTGCGGCAGGAAAGGGAGGTCAGTGGTGCCATGTGGGGAGGACCCCGACCCCCCAGGGAGCTCTGGGATCAACCCCTGGGGAGGCACCGGAGGGGGGGGTGGGAGGTGGCACCTGGATCTGGTAGGATGGGAACAGGTAAATCCTCCCTTGGGGGCTCAAGGACTGGATCCCAGGGGGATCGGGGACTGGATCTTGGTGGGGGTGGGGGGTGTTGGATCACAGGGGGATCAGATCCTGGGGATCAGGGAGGGGATTGGGGGGGGGGAGGTGTGGGACTGGATCCCACGGATCAGGAAATGGATCCTGGGGGTATTGGGGATGGGATCCCAGGGGTATCAGAAAATGGGGGGGTAGGGGTGGGAATCAGGGACTGGATCCCAAGGGGATTGGATCCCAGACCAGGGGGGCCAGGCACCAAATTGCAGGGGTCTCCAACACCAGATCCAGGGCGCCTTGGGGACGAGATCCCAGAACGGAGCTCAGCGACCAGATCCTGTGGGATTTGGCACACCAGATTCCGCAGGCTGAGGGCCCAACCCAGTGCAAACAAGCAACCCAGCCCCTCCTCCTTCTCCTCCTCCTCCTCCAAGCCTGGGCTGAGGCTGGGGGGGGGCTCCAGCAAGCTGTCCCCCACCCCGGGTTTGCCTTTCTGCTGATTTTTAGGGTGGGTTTTATTTTCCAATTAAAAAAGATTAAAAAATTAAAGAATTTAAAAATTAGCTTTTTTGCACAAAGGCAAACTTGCGCTCCTCGGCTGTGGAGTGATTGCAGCCAAGCGTTTTGGTATTTTTATGGGGGGGGGGAAACAAACCAGGAAACTGGAGGAGAAAAACAGACGGGCGTCTGTCCTGCCCCAGTGCCGATGGCAGAAGTGGCAAATCCAGGCCAGGTATTGCCCCCTGGGGTCACAGTCCTGCCCAGGTTGTCTAGGGCCAGACCCCAGCCCAGGGAGGGGGACATGGGGGAACCGCCCTGCTTCATCCTAAAAATTGTCGTTGTCATCCCCCGCCCCACGGTGCTCCCTTTGCTTTCATGGAAAGGAGGAAAAACACCTGGAAATGCCACAAAGTGGTGGTGGTTGGGTGAGGGAGCAGGTGGTGGGGGACCCGTGGGGGCTGGTGTGGTCCCTGATGCTCCCCCACAGGGTCCCTTCGTGTAAGCCCCTGTAGGAAACACCTGCGCCCCACAGCACTGCTGCACCCACGTGGGGAAACTGAGGCATGGGTGACCCTCGTCCTACCCCGCCAAAACCCTCCCAGCAGCAAACTCTTCCTCATTCCCAACACTAGCCCAGCCCAAACGCAACCAGTCACACCAAAACAACCCCATATTCCCCCCTCCTCACCCCCCCGGCCAGACCCCACTCACCCCACGTGGCACCTGGGATGCAGCGAGTTCAGCAGGTCTTAGCCGGGGCGGGAACGGCAACAGCCACATCCAGGAACCACCCGGGCAATGCCAAACTGGCCGGGGCGGCAGGCGGTGTGGCGGGGACGGGAGGAGGACAGGTTTTTGTCCCTGGCTGGGGGAAGCCCCCCCCCGCCAGCCCTGGCCGCACTTTGTCCCCGGGGGAGGTTTGCAGCAAGGGGCTGTGCCGAGGGCCTGGCTGGCAGCGGGGCTCGGGTCCCCAAAGTCGCCCCGCACCCCAAAGTTATGTGACCTCACGTGCCACGGTCCAGCACTCCCAGCCCAGTGCCCCCCAGCCCAGCGGTCCCAGTCCAACCTGCTGCTCTGGTCCAGCATCCCCAGCCTATCCTAGCGTCCCCAAATCAGCCCAGCACTCCCAAATCAGCTCAGTACCACCAGTCCAGCCCAGTGCCCCCAGCCCAGCTCAGCCCCTCCCAGTCCATCCCAGTGACCCCAGAGCAGCACCCCCAGTCCAGCCCAGGACCACCCAATTTAGCTCAGTGCCTCCAGTGAAGCCCAGCACCTCCAAGCCAGCTCAAAGCTCCCTGTCCAGCCCAGCAACCCCAGTCCATCCCAGTTCCCCCAGCCCATCCCAGTGTCCCCAAATCAGCCCAGCACTCCCAAGTCAGCTCAGTACCACCAGTTCAGCCCAGCACCCCCAGTCCACAGCAGTCCCCCAGCCCAGCCTGGTGCCCTCAATGCAGCCCAGCCCAGAGCCCCCAGCCCAGCTCAGCCCCTCCACCCCAGTCCATCCCAGTGACCCCAGCGCAGCACTCCCAGTCCAGCCCAGGGGCCCCAGTTTAGTTCAGTGCCTCCAGTCAAGCCCAGCACCCCCAAGCCAGCTCAAAGTCCCCTGTCCAGCCCAGCACTCCCAGTTCAGCCCAGTGCACCTAATCTGGCATCCCCAGTCTATCCCAGTGCCCCCAATCCAGCATCCCCAGCCCATCCCAGTGCCCCCAGTCCAACATCCCCAGCCCATCCCAGCATCCCCAGTCACTCCTCACAGCCCCGCAGTACAAGCCCCCCCCCCCCCCCCAGGCTTGGCAATGCCCTGACTCCATCCCTCCCCACTGAGGGGGGGTCCCAGGGGAGTCCCCTCCGCCAGCTCCAGCCCCCCCCCATGGATGTGTCCAGCCATGCCACAAAGCCAAGTGCCCATGGAGGAGCCCAGGAACCAGCCAGAAACAGGGACACATCCAGAAGACCAACCTTGACCCCTCTCCTTAATTACCAACTAACGAAGACTGTCGTCCAATTAGTGGTGAGTTTTCCCTTATCTAAAGGACCTGAGGTTTTGTAGAGTAGAAAATATGTACAAAACCATGTAGAAAATGCTCTAAATTGGTGTTTCCAGGCTCTGCCATGATGATCTGGAGGTCCCACCAAGCCCACCATGGGCACAGCCATCATGGGAGCATCCCCAGCATCTCCTGCCTGGTGGGACCAGTCCCAGCCAAGTAACAGCTAATTAAACTCTGATGATGGTTGCTGGCTCTGGTTTCAGTTTCAGAGTTTCTGTTGTCTGGGAAAACCCCATTGCAGCGGCAGGAGGGCATCTGGCAACAGGCTTTGGAAATAAATCTGAATTAGTTGTAATTAGATCAGTAATAATGCTAATTAGTTGGAATTAGCAGCTCAAACCCAGACCCTGCTCCCCCAAGGTATGATCTGTATTCTCTTTATAGTCCACAGCCCAATAAATACTTGGATAAATGGAATTTTTATTATTATTAAAGATGATCCTGCTAAGTAATCGGGATATTTTCATAGAAAATTGTTCATGTAAGAGGAGCATTGGAGGCTGGGGGGCTCCAGACCCCTGACACGCAATGGTCCCACATCCTTTAACTGCCATGAAGATGCTTCCAAAGGAAAAGCAGACACAGGGGACAGATGGAAAATGGTTGTACTGGGATGGAAAAACCCTTTAAAGGTTTTCCCGGGTGGTCAAGGGACCATCACAGACCTGGGGAGAGCTCTGTGCTCCAGCAAAAACAATTTCCAAAGCCGTTGAGAAAGGCTGGGATGGGATTTCATCAGACTGGCAGTGTCCAGTAGATGGAGGCAAGAGGTTTGAAGAAGCAGGCTGGGATGGGAAACCCAAAGAAATAGAGTTTCCCCACCCAGATTTAGGGGAATATCAGCATATGGATGCCACCTGATGCAGGCCACTGCATAAAAAAACAGCTCTGAGGAATTTGGGGGGGGGGTGTCCCACTTTTGCAAAAAATTCTTAAACCCCTTCACTTTCATATTTAATATGAAAGTTAAATTAAGGATGAAAATTAAATAAACAGGTAAATAAACTATGAAAATTAAACAAACTAAATATTTTTATATATATTTATATAAACAGATAGAACACATTATTATTAATAAAAATATATATATAATTTTGTAGAAATTCCCCGAGACCCAGACCTCTGTGTCCTGGTGCAGGGCAGAACCGTGAGGACCCCCTGGACCTCCACAGCAGGGTCACCCTTGTCCCTGCCACCCCTGCTCCCAAGTCCACCCATCAGTGCCAGCCTTAAGTACTGGCTAATGAAGACCCTTGCCCAATCAGTGACGATTTTCCCCTATCTAAGGGAATTTATGGTTCATTAAAAGCAGGTGAAGCTGGAGCTCAGGGCAGGACCAAGCCTCCAGGTTTCAAGGAAGCCCAGGTGAGACTCCCACCAGCACAATGCCTCAGCCACGATGAGTTTCTTGGGTCTCAGCTGGGGCCAACACCAGGCTCTGCCCATCCCCAGGCCACCGAGAAGCTGCCGCACTGGGTGGACAGCATCATCCTGCTCTACAGCATCTGTGACTGCTCCAGCTCCCACTGGCCTCAGCAGCCACAGTGCCAGCAGCCGGTGCCTGTCATCTTGGTGGGCAACATGTGGGACCTTGCAGCACCGGCAGGCAGCGCCCGGCAAGGAGGGCCAGCTCCTGCACCGGCTTTCATGGAGGTTTCGGCTGCTGAGACCTACCACAGGGCTCTGCTGGTTTTCCACCAGCTGCTGGAGGTGGCGAGGGGGGTGGGAGGGAGAGCCACCGGCACCCATGGCATCATCCAAAAAGTCTCAGCCGCCTTCAGCCATTGCCAGATGGGGTGAGCCTCCCCCACGGCAGCTGTGAAGGTGGAAGCAGATTTGAGGGGACAGCTGGCAAACTGGAGTCACTGAGCCCTGCCTGATCCAGGGTATGTCCCTCCCCAGTCTCACCATGGGCGAACGGGAGCAGCACTGGGTGCCTGTGGTGCCGGCAGAGCCCTCCAAGCACGGGAACGTCCATCTGTCCGTCCCTCCCCAGAGCCAAGGTGATGGATGGAGGTTTCCCATAGCCAGAGACCTGCTGCGGGCTTTGCTGAACTGCTCGATAAACCGGCCATGGCTAAACCCCCCCTGCCGAGAGGAGCTGTTTGTCCCACTTGGGTGCCGGGAAAGCCAGGAGCACCCTGCTGGGGTGCTAGAGACCTCCCATACCCATCTCCTGGCCAAAGGAAACTAGTCCCATCCCCTTCTGGCAGGCTGGGAGTCCAGACACAGCCTGCCCTGCCAGGTCTGAGCACCAGCAAACTCATTTGCCCACAGCAGCTAAGCAAAAAAATGCCTGGAGATGGGGAGGAAGAGCTGAAGGAAAAGACAAAATGAGCTTGTTTGCCTTCCCAGCTTCTCCTGCACATTCTTTGCCAGCTCAAAAGCACAGCAGGGGGGATTTGCTGCAGATGCTAGAGCAAGCCAGGCACGCACAAAAGACTCAACGCCCTTGATCTGCTCCGAAAAGGGCTGGGGGCAGGAGGCCTCGGCTCACTGCCACCACTGTGGGAAGGAAAGGGGGGTGGAAAAGGGCTGTTGATGCATTCCCCAGCGATGGCAGCAGCAAAGACCCTAAATACTGGGGGGGAGGACGGGTCCCCGAGGTGTCCCCATCACTCACTGCCTGGTATATTGGGAAACACACGTTAGGACCGAGTCCGAGACCCCATCCCGACACAGGCCAGACACACAGGGCTGCGCGTTCATCCATCCAGGATCATGAAGACAGAGGAAAACAGCAACATCTCAGCAACCGGGCTTTAATAATTAACTCTGCAAACCGCCACAGGACCGTGATTAGCGCAGACGCCTGTTTATAACACAGTATTTACACGTGAGTGAGGAGCAGAAGATGCCGCGCAGCCCTTCACCATACCTTTCCAACCTCTGCCAAAGTAAAATATTGCTCTAACACGTTAAAACTGCTGCGGTAACAGCACACGGAAGCTGCTGACGTGCTAGGGTCAGCTGCCTTTCACTCTCATAACTGATTTACCTTCTCCACCAAGAGTTCCAAGTCACTGAGTCCAAGCTGAGATTTTGCTCCAGCTCTTTACCATTTGCTGAGGGGAACTGGGGGGGG